AAACTTGGCAGTATACCATGTTGACTGCACAACAGTATTGCCTTGCATTACCAAGGATCTCTCTCCATATTACCCAGTGTCATTTAAGATTTGTTTGTGTTTCCGGTGTCTTTGCTATGTTTGTCCCGTACATGCAGTGGTCCCATGTGGAAGTTTTGTCCATGCCCTGCTTATCATGATCCAGTGTTTGATTCCGGTGCTGCTGCATTTTCTGTTCTTCTTCATTGACAGATACCCAACCAATAAGAAAATCCTTTCATGTTTATTACAGGTTTTTACCTATAATGCTGTTGAAGGTTAAAGATTTGGCTTTGTCAACAAAGGAAAAGAAAGCAGATGAAGTGCAAATGTAAAATTTTTTCAGAATTGCTGAGGTGTTTTACAAATAATGTTTTGAGCTTCTTTTGAAGACAGTTTTTGTATGACTGGAAATAAACTAGACATGGGAGATTTTTTTTTTCTTTTTTTTTTTTTTTTTTATAATTTCGCTCACTCAGCTACTTCAAACTGACTTATTTTCTAATAATTTAATGCCTAAATTTTATGTTTTAATTGCAATGTAAATTTTATCTTTCTCCATAAATTATAAGTTAATTAAAATTTAAGTTCATGTGCACTCTGTTGGGATATTGTATTTTATTAATTATTTTCAATAAAGAGGTTTTTATTTTTTCTGAAACTGATTAATTAATAGAATGTATTAATAATGTCTGTTATAATTTGAATCTGTATAATTTGTTCATTTTATCAAATCTTAATTTATATAGTTTTAAAGTTGTTCTTCATAAACATTATAACCCATCAATACCCACTGTCCCAAATATTAGATGATAGGCATTAATGGGTTAAGATTGCATTTCCAAAATTCTATAAATTAAATTTTAATCACTTTGCTGTTTTGAAAAATATCAACCCTAGATTTCAAAGGATTTATTCCTGATTTATTTAATTATTCATAATTATTTAATTTAATTATATATAATTTGATATGTTATTTATATATTATTGACTCCTAACTCTTATGACCTTTATCATAACACAACATTATGTAATGTTGTTTTTGTTTTTTTTGTTTTGTTTTTTTGAAAAGTCAATGGCCTTGGGAAACTTGTTTGCAAAGAATTGCTATACATCATATCCCCCCTCCAACCCCACCAATAAAAACAGGCAGTACAATTACAATAAGAAATTTAAGAAAAAGGAATAAACAATATGTTGTGGGGTGGGGGGGATATATTAGAGAGCAAGAACTATTACTTTCTACTAAATGAAGATAACTGATAGATAACAATTCAGGACTTAGTGTTATCAAGTTTGATTGACAGCTTTTTTTTTTTTAAGTTTTTATTTAAAGCCAAAAAATATTTTTAGAGTGTAAGAATTTTGGGGAGATAATAGTGATTTACTGATACAAGTCCTACTAAGTAACCCATAGCTGGGGTGGGTGGGGAGAACTTTTCTCAGGGGTATTTGCACACAAGTGAAGATAACAAATCTGGAACTTTGCTTTCTGATTTCCAATTTGGTGCCATTATTCATTACACCACCCGCACCCCCCCCCAAAAGTTACAGGATCTCCCATCTAGGTACTGATGAGACTTGATGTTGCTTATGTATAAGAACCATTGTTACCAAGAGGAAGTGATGATGATAATGTAGATCTGGTTATTCTGTTGCATTTCCCAATTCAGATGCCCTGTTCGTCATAACTGGGATCCCCGCTTCCGATATATTGTCTGCATAATAAATATAACCACACTTTTTGTATGGGTTTAAATCTGGAGATTATGCAGCTGAACTATGAAAAAAAAGCAACATTAATTTGAAAAAGGGATTGTTGATGAGTGAACAATACAATATTGGTTTTATAAACTTCAGTTTGATATTGGAAACAATAAAGCAACATTTTGCTTCAGAGATATATCTTGAAGTTGATCCTCGAGGAAAATTCTGGTTACCAGCATTCAACTGAAAAGAATTGTAAAAGATAAATCTACAACAAATTTGAATCCATAACTGCTACATAATTTGACAGAAAATCAGAAACTTCAATGTTTTGATATCTGCTCATCATTGTTTAACAAATATGACCAATTTCAAAAACTAATAAAAACCAATGTTCATTAACACTTTTTAAAAAATGTTTCCTTGTCTAGTGGATTCCAGTTAGGCAGAACATCATTTACAAAGAATAGTTGATTAATAAGATCAACTGTGTAAGGAAAGAATCGATTTCAAATAGTATTTTGTCTTGGTGCAAATGTATTTAAAAGGAATAGCTGCTTAAGGATGAAAATTCATGGTCACATTATGTTCAGCTTATGTGGTGTTCACAGTGCATATTAGATACACAAGTACTGAAAAGATTAAGAAGCTTTCTTAAAAATATCTTGTTTGGTAGGATCTTAAGTGAGTCATATAAGTAATATATATATATATATATATATATATATATATATATATATATATATATTGAATATTGCTGCTACATCTGGTCTGGTGCTTCTGCTATATATTTATAGATTCAATATGCAATGCTATTGGTCCTGTACTGGCACCTCACCACAATACACCATCCCTATACCTTTTCTACAAATACTTTCACAGTAATTGTCCTGATGAACTTTCCTCTTTTGGTATTTCACACTTCTCAATTGTGGAACTCTTCCAGCCTCTGGCTTTCCAGTCAGCTTTGGTCTTCAAAGATTTTAATGCAATTTCAATTGTTATCTTCTGTCTTAATTCCTGTTCTTTTATTATTCTCTCTCCTTGTGATCAAATTAATGTGCTATATACATACACATATAATGAGTATTTCTTTTGTTTTACTATTATAGGTTTTTGTAATTCAGACTGCAGACACTTGATGTTGTAGAAACTTAATACTTTCATGTGTGTTAAGATGATACGAACAGAAATTTTATATCATTAAATCTGGCTTTCAGGTTCACATTGATACTTGTCACTCATGATGTTGCAAAAGTAAAGGAAGAAAAATCTCTTCTTGCTGATTTAAGCTGAAATCTTTCAGAATTTTGATTAAATTTATATTGAAATAAGATTGCTTGAAATAAAGGAATTAATCTGCAGTTATTCCTAAAATATTTTTTGTTTTAGACAGGCTGGCTTTGTATAGTGAGACACAATATCAATTGGTGACAGAGAATGAATCAATATAGTGGCTTCTAAGTAATTGCAGCATGCTTCAAAATTAGTGATTTATATTCTTTTTCCACCAATAGATTGCATTTGGTTCATAGAGAAATGCATCCAAAATAATATTTTTGAATAACAATACCTGTATCATATTGCTGGAAAATAATCCAAGCAGAATATTCATGGCATCAAGAGGTACTGCATTAGCTCACAAACAGAATTTAATTTTGAATTACCTTAAAATTAGTAAAAGTTAAAAATGAATTCAGTTGTAAAAAGGTGAAAAGTATTGGTATGTGTGTATACAGATCTTAAAATGAAAACTGTTACATAAGAATGTACAAGATGTGAGTGGATAATGAATGTATTGTCTGTTAAAATAGGATGTAAAGTTTGATTTGATTTTGGCATACAACTTGACTAAATTTGTGTTAACTAAATCAGAAAAGAGGCTCCAAGATTGGGTAGAAGTTGCATCTGCATAGATTTAGAATTTTCTTACTGAGTCAAAATAAGGTCAATTAAGGTTTATTGATAGGTCATCTTGGGTTGATGGTAATTATGTTAAGTCATGAAAAACCAGACCTGACATCAAATTCATCATTTGCTGAAGGCACTGCTCTTATTTATCAAGTGATTCCTGAAAAGTGTGTGTAGAGATTTTCTGAGTGCACAATGGAGCAACCAGTGTGGATTAAACTCCCTATCCAGTTGTAATTGATTTAGCAAGACACACTTGCTAAACATTACACCATGTTGAAGTGCCCCATGTGTGTGTGCATGCTCTGGATGAAGCTGCTTGGGGGGTAGAAGATGTGACTTACAGGGGCACAGTCTTGGTATAAGTAGACTTGGATGAGTTACATGATGAAATCTGTGAAGAGCAGTGCTATATCAAGTCTAGTTTGTTACCTCTTCCGTGTATAGTGTGTATGACGCTTGCATCAGATTGTAATGGTCCGGGTTTGATTCTTGATAGTAGATGGACACTGCTGATGAGTCCCAAAATAGGATGAAATGGCCATCCAGTGCTTTCTGCATTATGTTGAGGATTCTTCTAGACTCGATGAATTACTTAATTATGATTATTCTAATCCCTTTAATAATATGTATGTATGTATGCATATATATATATATATATATATGTATATATATATATATATATGTGTGTGTATGTGTTTTGTCCAAAAAAACAATGACATCATTTAATATGTGAACGTCAGAGTAACTACATGTCCCAGGCAAACAAAATTAAATAAGCTTCATTTTGCACAATAAGAGATTTATTTATCACAATTCAAACAAGATATTCAAAGGGGTTTAGATTTTTATAAAAGATTTTACAAAGTTTCACAAATGTCCATTATGGACAACACCTGTGACACATTTCAAGTCTGTAGTCCAGCACCTGTCAAACATTCTGTAGCATGTCTTGCATAACATTCTCTGGTGCCTCAGTGGTTCTCTGCTTAAGTTCCTCTAGGCTTGTCGGAAGAGGGGGATATACATCTGTCCTTTCACATCAAGTTGAAAAATATCCTGATTTACTATTTAATATTCTTCCTTGATGAAAATCTTACAACTGGACAAAATTTGACAGTGGAACCAGACAAAGGACATGAAGGTGAACAAAAGTGATTAGTATTAAACGAGATTTGCTAATTCTGTCAAATTATGATAAAGGACAAATAGAAGATATAAAGTTTTAATTCAATTCCTGCAAATATAAAATATAACTAAAAAAAAAAAAAAAACTTATTTTTTACCTTTCAAATTAAAAAGCAAAAAAACAAAGTGAAGTAAAAGTTTCTCCATTTCAACAAAGAACAGGTTTACGATCACATGTTGAAATACTAGTTCCCATACAATCACTGAAGTTAAGCAACGCCAAGCCTGGTCAGTATCTAGATGGGTGACTGCTTGGGAATACCAGCTGTGAGCTTGGATGTGCTGGTGGTGTAATAGATAATGGCTCGGAATTGTTAATTGGAGAGCAGTTCCAATTCCGGTTGGGTTAGCTTTATTCACTTCCGCCCAAATACCCTTAGTAAAGGCATAAATCCACCTCTTCTCCCCTCGCTATGGGTTAATTAACACTTGTAAGACCATTATAAAAATAAAATAAAATTGCGTTCAAAATATTTAGATTTCGGCCTTACCAATAAGACCACAATCCTAATATTATCTGACAGAAGTTGCCCCACCCATACCCGCTAAGCATGGAAAGCAGAAGAACAATCTGTTCCCGTGGATTGAATAAAGGGTTTTGTTCAAAATTCTGAGAAGGTTACCTAGTATAATAACAGGCACATGTTAAGGGACGGATAGTGAAATGATGAGCCTGCCAGTTCGAATAACGAAGCATATAATTTTAATAAAAACTAATTTATTAAAATAATACTTTTTAGTTACTGTAAATTAAATAAGGAGGAGAGTAAAATGTATATCGTCAACATTTCATTATGAATAAAATATTTTTTTCTGACATTTTCACTACTGTAACAAAATGTACTTTTATAATATTTTTTTTTTTTTTTTTTTTTTTTCCCCTCAGTTTTTTTCCGGGTCACCGTAATTTCAATGAGTCTGAAAATAATGACTTATACTTGGGTGAACATAACTTTCGCTATATTTTTTTTTTTTTCTCTTAAAGAGAAAAAAGTCCCACAAAAAAGAAAAAGTGACTTCGATAACTGATTTATTTTTGTGGCCTTTGGTCTAAATTCCTGATGTCCTCTTTCGTTTCATAAGGGGTCAAGAAGAATGAAGTGACAAAGACCAAAGAATGAAAAATGGGTTGTCAACCTTTTTTGTCAGCATACAACCTCTTTGTTAACTTATTACACGCATTTTTAAGCACGCCCTCCTTTTTTGCTTTTTTTTTTTTGTTAAATGTCGACCACTAACCTCGATCTTGTCATGGCATTTTTTTCTTCCTTCCCTTGGTAGGGGTTAGGCCAATAAAATATTAACCTGTCACAGTTTTTGCTCCCAAACTCGCTATCCACAAAGAAAAGTAATGGGTAAAGTAATAAAAAACGGGGGGGGAATCTAGTTTCAACCTAAGCGTTGTTGCTTTACATTTCAAACAAATTAAAAATGATTTGAAAAATAAAAAGTATATTTTCAGATTCTGAGAGAAGTTCATTTTGTACATCGGTCAACATTTGTTGTAATCCTGTACAGATGAATCATATGACAACTCGAGTTTCGATGGTTCCAATCGGAATGTCAAAAATCCGGATATAAGTTGAAAGAAAGTCACCAAACTAGATCATCATCGTTATGTCAATTGTCCAACATAAAAGTTTGTTCAAAATGGAGATTTTCTAAGTGTAGCTTTAGATGTAGCATAAGGCAGAAAGTATTAGGCACCTAGTGAGAGTCGAACCCACTTTTCAGTCATAATTAATCTAGCGAAACAAACTTGCTAACCATTTACACCACATCGAAGTGCCCAGGTTTGTTGAAAATGGTTGAGCCAGGAGAAAATGGACACTTTTACATACGTTGAGGATTACATTTTTTTTTTTTTTTTTTTTTAATTAATTTTCATTAAAAATAAAAACTTAGTTTACTCATACAACAAATATAACTTAAAATAAAAGACGTATATGGTGGTGCGCTTGCGTTCCTACCTGCAACAATATTAAAGTTAAGTTTAAAAATCGAATGTTAATCTTACATGTTAATCTTCGCCTTCCACATCTCTCCTCTTCATTTGAACCTGCTCCGTACTAAGCTACGTATAGTAAATAATTATAACTAACTAACCAACAAGCAAACAGCATTGTATTTTTCTCTCATAAATCAATAAAATCGAAAATGCCTGCGTCAAAATGATTGTCTATATTCCTGGGATGAGGTATTATAGATCTAAACGCCTTTATCCACTGTGCCATCCAGTGACAGAACTCAGCGTGAGTTCAATACCTGCTTAAGGCAGTGGAGAGGGGAATTAACAGGAGATAACTGATAACTGACATCCATTAGACATGGCACGTGGAACTAAAACAGTTTACCCCAGCTAGCGAAATAAAGGATTCAGTTCGACATTCCAACCACCCGAAGAAGGCCAGAGGGTACAACGGCCAAAACGTTGTGATAAATATGGCAACAAAGATGATGACAATAGTCCGAATAATTAACGCCATTGTCTGATCTTTAGTGTGTGTTCTGCTAAGATAAGCTTAAATAATAAAGCAATAATCTTTGAAAAGGTATTTTTATTACGTTGCTGTGTGTTTGTTTTCTGACAAGGAACATTTTCAACAGATTTCTAGGATGTTCAATAATAATTGTCAGTATCCCTACTCAAAAAGTCGTTGAGGTATATAATTTATATATTCGCTTGTCAACGTATCCGGGTCTAAGATTGCAGTAATTCCATTTGTGCATAGTCTATTTTCTTAATGGTCAGAAGCGCACATTCAGATTAGTATTTGAAAGTACTTGAAACTTTGTGTATAAAATCAAAACAGCCTTATTTCTGTAAGCAGAAGTGGTTGTTAATGTTTCACTGTTTAGCTTTGTGATTTGTATTGCTATTTCCCGTAATTCTTTCTCTTAGAATTTAGTCGTTGTCTACAAATTTATAATCTTTTTGCTTTCGACTCGGCTCTTCAGAGTGAGAAACATTTTTATTGTTTTATATACTTTAAAAATTTTTTCGATTCACCATTTTACAATAATTTTTTTCTCGTTCTTCCTCCTGTTTTAAATTATTTGTATGTATTAGTAGATACCTTTTATATATTTGTATGTATTACCTTTTTAATATGTCCGTTCTTAAAGCTATAATAAATTGTACTCCCTTAAATTAAGAAAAATTTGATTTGAACGTAACAAAATTCGTAAAGGTACGAACCTTAGTCTTGAATGAGACACCACTAAGTGAACCAGAAAATCAATAAATTAGCACCAGACCATTTCTTTTCCTTTATCCCCCGCAAGCCTTCGAGGATAAATATACAGATCCAAGTAAACTTCGTAACTTGCCCCCATTAAAAACAGCAATATGAAATAGGAGTTAATAGAAAAAGAAACTTTAAGTGTGACAACTACCCTTTTTTTTCTTTGCATAGATTTAAGTACGAAATGATTACAAGTAATCTCGTAAGTTCAATTTTTGTGTCGTAAATGAAAATTGCTCCATGTCGTTGGAGAAATTTGCTATTTTTATTATCGTCTCTACAATAATTACAGCGGTAATTTTCTTGTCGACTTGAAGGCTTCGTTTCAGTTCTTAACTGAATTTCGTTTGATATCCTCTCTCCCTGTGTGTTTAATGTTTGACTTTGGTATTTTATTCACCAACACCGTTTCATTTTAATTTCTCAAGAGAGCGTCATTCGAAAATGAAAGATGTCCTTGACGAGATTTAAAATTGCATAATTCCGTTTTTGTTTTTGTTAATCGGAACCGCTTAAAATTGACAAAAGATCAAACTCGGTGTTTTCTGCCGCTGTCACTTTTTTATGTTCATTTACAAGCAACAGGACAAAAGCAAATTACATGAATGTTGACAAATAAGATATCATTATCAACAGTCTTGCATAAATATTTTTATGCAATTCAAAAGTGTACAAGTAATTTTGTTAAAGGAATTTATTACGTACGGATAGATATAAATTCCATATGTAATAAATTCATACTAAGTAACGCATAAATGAAATGCCAATAAAAGTATTTGGGCGCAACAAATAATTTTAATTTAAAATAAATTATTTAAATAAAACTACAAGTGCTTCCAGGTGAACGTGTATATTATTACAATGTCATTTTCATGAAGTCCTATATAATTGTCCATAGACAAACTCCACTTGAAATAGATCCATCCTCCTTTCTGAATATTTGTTATGATTTATTATTTGCCATAATATATTTTATTGTAGCAGAGGAAACGTGAACAGAGTAAACAACAAAGTTGAGTAATTTGGTACTAATTTCGCTCTCAGTATCAATACGATTTATTTATGAGGCTTCAATACAATTCTTGTGTAGCTTGGCAATTTCAAGTGTTATTTCATTGCAAAAAAAAAAATCACCGTTGGATTGATATATATATAGAGCGTTCAAGGAGTCGTAAAACTATCAGGACATTTGGTGGATGGCAAAAAGGCTTAGTGAAGAAATTTATTAATAATTCCATTGGGCAGCAATCACCGTCTCTGGTTATTATTACTTACAACTTTATCCAAACTTAGAGAAGAGTAGATATTTCGTAGAAATAGGTTTTAGAATATCTTTTAAACAGGGGAAAATAGCACGTTCGTCTCGCTTCATGAGTTACGTCACATGCAATATACGTAACCAAGGATCTTTCTACAAATAATGTGTATTACATCATTTGGCATTAATATCGAGACAATTTTTTTCATAATCATTTCACCCAAGCAAGGCAATTAAGCTGCTAAGACGGAAAGGGTTACTGCGTATCATAGAATATGAGGAAAAAAAACATTGAGAGAGAACAATAAAAGAAGATTAATTAAGAAGACAGGAGATAACGATTGACATTGCATTTAAAGTTTTGAAGATCAGAGTTGACTGGAAAGCAAAAAGCTGGAAGAGACTTCTGCAAGCGAGAAGTGCGAAAGAAGAAACTCTTAGCATAGAACTTACGGTTATATCTAACAATTTCAATTGTTAAATGATGAAACCTTGCCGCCAATCTAGTACTGCACTTCATAAAGTTTAGGTACCACTGAGAAGTTCATCAGAACAATTACCATGAAAATATTTATAGAAAAAGTCATAGGGAAGCTATGTTATGGTGGTGGAAAAATGTTTAAAGTCGAGATGCTAGGTATACATTGCAGATTCTTATTCGTATTTTATCAAGAATCTCTAAATACATAGTAATAGCACAAGATGTGACAGCAATATTCAATGCATGGACTTATAAATGAGTAAGACGGATTCTAGAGGGAAAAA